GAACGGGTGATTCCTTGGATTGGGTTGACATTTCAAACAACTCTATTTACTCCATCCTGCGCAGACTTCCGAACAGGCTGTCTACCTCCCCGGATAAGATTCCCTATATTTTTCTGAAGAATGCATGCTCTCGCCAGTCACACAAAAACTCGCTCTCACTGTATTATTCAACAGAATTTTACATCATGGTGATGTCCCTAAATTGTGGAGGATAGGCTTTGTCAAGCCGATTTACAAGAAAGGTTGCAGAAGCGATGTCTCTAATTACAGGCCCATATGTTTAACCAGCTCCGTGAGTAAAGTTATGGAACGCTTGGTTTGCCAAAAAATTACCTGTTTCTTGATGGAAAGAAATTTGCTACATAAAAATCAGCATGGTTTTCTGAGGCGTAGGTCTACATTGTCGGCCTTACTGTCCACACTACCTCTATGGCACAGAGAGATTGACAAAGGGCATTTCGTTTCAGTCTGCTATATAGACTATGCCAAGGCTTTTGACTCCATCTCAATAACAAACTGCTTCTAATAGGAAATTAGAGTTTACGCGCAATCGGGGGCCCGTCCTGCACAGATTCTTAGCGTTCTTCTCACAAGTGCACAGGACCAAGTAGTGCTCGTCAACGACTCCCATTCTTATTCCTATCCTACGCCTAGTGGCGTACCTCAAGGTACGTGTATTGGGCCGCTAATGTTCCTAATATATGTAAATGACTTGGTTGACTCTATTCCAGCTGGCGCCTACTGCAGTCTTTATGCTGATGATTCAAAAATCTTCACCATAAACGACTGTAACAAGCTTCAGAGCGCTATAGATTGTGTCGAGGCTTGGTCTAGAAAGTGGAATTTGAACATCTCTCTGCAAAAAACAGCTGTTATGGGGCTCGGTAAAAATCATCCTAGATTCACGTTCTCGATGTGTGGCGTCGAGCTCTCCCGAGTAAGTAGAGTTCGGGATCTTGGTGTTGTCTACACCGATAAGCTTGAGTTTGATGAGTTTATACGCGAAACAGTTTCTAATGCAAGCTCTAGGGCTAAATTTCATTTTGAGAGCTTTCAAAATGCGCGAACCTAGACTGCTATTTTATTTATTCAATCTCTACGTTCGCCCGATCCTTGAATATTGCTCACCAATCTGGTCGCCGTTCAAAAGATCGTTAATCGAAGAAATTGAAAAAGTTCAAAGAAGTTTCACTTATCGCTGTTTTATGCGCAAAGGTTTGTCAACATTATCCTATGATGAGCGCCTTAGCATGCTTCATGAAGAGTCTCTCGAATTTCGACGAAAGTTAATTGATTTCGGATTGATGTATAAACTTGCGATGGATAAATTGAATTTGAAATTGACTGACATTTTTGAAATGTCGCCTTCTATAGGGGTATCAAGAGGCCACCCCTATCGTTTACGACCCGACAAGCCCAACACACACGCGTACGGAGAAGCGTTCACTGTCAGAGTGGTTTCACTCTGGAACAAACTTGATTCAGATTTTTTCAGATGGAAACATACTAGGACGTTTCAGGATCACTTATGTAGGTATCTCAAGTGCCGAGTGGCTGCTCCAGATACGAGTTTTGGAAATGTAATCGCGTGACGGCAGGTGCGCCTACCCCGCCGCCACATGACTTTGCTGGAATGGGTGCGTGCCAGCCGCCTCCATAGCGCAGAGCGAAGTGCCGCCGCTCATGCGTGCACTCGCAATGAATCTCACTGGGGTTCGAATCCAGTGCCGCCTAAAGTGTTTGCAAGCGGCTTAGCGTTCACGTTTACAGCTCCTGAAGTTGTTACAAATGTGCTCCTGCATCATTCTTATCGGTTTGTCTCTCTGAATGGTTGCGCCAATTTCCGTCGTCTGGCATCCCAGTTCCTGAGGTAGGGGGAACTGATCGATACTGTAAGTGGTTTCGGTTTATACGAAATGCTATCTTGGACATCACTTAACGTTTCGATATTTCAGCCAACACGATCGATCAATTATTTCCTTCCTTGCTAGCCTCTTAATATCGCCTTCCTGTTCATAGTTGTCTTGTAATGACCTAACAATAGTCGCACTCACTACTACGTTTTTTAACACATTGTTATTGACCTTCTTGTTATTATCATTTAATCGGACTATTTTTTTTCATTTGAATAATCAACAACCATTTATTCTTTTTCAGCCCAGTATTCCCCTTCCCTACCTCATTACGGCTCTAGGAGGGGTTGGCGGACCTACTAAGTTGGTATCCGGAGTCGCTTTTCCCTCTTGGCGGCTTGCAATGTTGGCCGGCCATTGCCCTTCTCCTCCTAGGTGGCCCTTTGGATCTCCCGCCTCCCCCCCCCCCGTACTCTATTAGCCAATAAGCTGCTTTTCAAAACTTGTCTCATAACTTGTTACATATCTTTACTCTGAACTCCTGTATAATCCTATGCTCCCGTATTAATTTGCTGTACATGTATATGCATATATTTATATATTTACACGCTATTGTGTTACTGTTCCCCCATTTAATATAACGTTGTCTCATTTGTGCAATAGTAAATAAATAAAATAAATAAATAAATCGTAAATAATAAAGCGAGCTACCAGCCCGTATGGATCCTCTTATAATTTGCTGAATTAGGAATTCAAATCACGAGGTCTCTTGAAAATTTCAGAGCACCATGTTATTAATTGGGTGGAAACCTATAATTCGACCGAAATTCCAATCACGCACTTTGGATTATTCACAAGTTTACCTTCCTTAAAAACGAATTGATCAAAATAGCCGCATATCATAAAATCACTGATATAAGCATCCACTTGCTAGGGAACGAATGGATGCATTCCTCCCAGAATGAATGGAGCTGTGGAATGAAAAGTTCGGAGAGGTCGTTTTTGGGGTGGTTGCATTTACTGACTGTTTTCTCTCCAAGCTGCTGCTTCAGGGAGCTGAGGAGGTGATAGTACGATGGAGGAACAATATCAGTGCTATAACGACAGATGTGTGCCAGTGCCGCAGCCAGCCTTCCTTAACGAACGTGGCGAGTTATCTTTGCAATGTGATTTCGGGCGGTCCTTCGAGAAAGGAGATTTTCGAGACGTTTCGAACCGTTCTTCCCGCACTGCTGTAGCCAACTTCGGGAAGCTATTCCATGGTCACCTTCGCAATGCTTGTCTGCATAAAGTGAAATGGTTCCCAAAACAGGATACCCAGCGAATCCAACGAACCGGGGGTAATATCCTCTGATGAGAGAGCTCATGCTTTGGTCGAGATGGTAAGTCCAGGCTCGCAGTACGCACAAGCAGGCTGTGCATTTGCATTGTAGGGGACATCATGGCGTAAATCTGCACTGGTGACGTCAACGCCAGAGAAACCTGCACGAAATGAAAGTTCTGCAGGTGGTGAAGACAGGGCTTCTTTTGTCATGGCGATGCCTGCTGTTCCATTCGAGTCTCCATTCTGCTACAGCCCCTTTCGTTCAGGTATCGACTCATGGAGCATAGGCTGCGTACAGGTGTTTGCTATAGTTTCCTGCTAATAGCGTCAGGATGCACTTCCTATTCGTTGCGCAAGGGTCCTCATCCAAAGTGACTGGAGGTCCATGATGAGGTCGAACTTTGCAGCTCCTATCTTATTTGCCGATGCTATTGAGCCAATAGCTCAGTGCTCGATCAGTAGCAAAGACTAGGGCAAACGTAGCGCTGATCTTGCCTACCGCGCTCCTTGCAAGATTCTTCTTGAAGTTGTCGTAAGGCATAATGGTTGGGTTGGTCCGTTTATCTCAATATTCAGGTCTACGTAAGTCATCAAAGATGAAACTTTAGCAAAATCCATGACAGAATTCATCGCTGCTTCCAAACACGAAAAAAATGCATTCAAAGATATCCGTGTACTCCAAAGGGTTACCAAACTAGGAGATGAAATAAACTGAACCAGTGACCGTGAATATTGACAACATTACCGTGATAAAACTTCTAACTAAGAGCACCCAAGCGTTCCTGAAAGATCAGTAGTTCAAAAATTAGTCCCGTTGTTACTTTTTTGGGGGTTTGCGTTACTATTTTTTTGGAACCGCGACTTTTTTACCTTCAAACGATCATAACTTCCTTCAAAGTCATTCATTTGGGAAGCTGAACACGGTATGACAAACTACAGGATTCAAGCTTTCTTACGAGCACCAAAAGCGTTCCTGAAAGTCAGCAGTTCAAAAATTAGTCCCGTTGTTACTTTTTTTGAGGGGTATTCTTCAAGCCATTTTCCCGAAAACGCGGGTTTTCTTAGGTTTCACTGCCCGTAACTTCTTGGAAGACCAATGTCATGTTTAATTTAGGATGTGCTAGAAAGCTCGAGCATGCGCTTGCACTACATCCCTTGCCTTGGTGCGCGCCACGCCTCGGGCGCCCTTCTAATTCGCTGATTCATTTGAAAGCTCATTTAGAGGGAAGCGTGGTTTATAGATGCTCTAGTATCAGTCATCTTACGAAAACGTAACGTGCTGGCTATTACCAAAATCCCACTGCCGGCCACCGAGAGAGTACGACCCCCCCCCTCCAAGCTCAACTGAGTACGACCCCCCCCCGTTGTTACTCGTAACAACGTAGGGTTGACCCTGCTGAAGGTCCTGATGTGTTCTTCAACATATCAACTTATTTCGATATGAAGTTAATTTGACATATTGAAAATTGAATTGGAACCAAAATCGGCCAGAAATTATGGATCAACCCAATATATAGACCGACGAAGCGGGTCTGAAACTGAAAGTAAAAATTCGTAGTAAGACTTACTTTGTACGCAACTGTTATAATGCACGCGTTAGGACGGATTAATTCATCACATAGAGTCGATTTTTCACATTTTGTGCGCGGTATTGCACATGTGGTGTTGTCATGATTTACAAATGAAAAATTTTGTTTGGCAACTGTAATTGACGAATTCACCTTCGGACTTCGCCACTCCTCAGCATAAGTTTTTTTTTTTTTCTTTACGTACCACATAGTGTTGGGCGTTGAAGAAATTGTTTTTACCCTATTACTATGAAGTTATCAGGCCGTCTTCAAGCAGAGCCGGAGCGAATTGAAACCACCGACATAGCCGTGTCCTAGGCGTGTACCCCGAGCCAGCTCCAAGGAATTTTTCTGCTAGGCTAGCCTACCGATAATATGCACTATTACTATATATGATGGCTTCACTAGGAAAAAAATATCCATTCAATGAACATGGATTATGAATGCGAAGGAACGTACACGAAGGGTGGATTATTTCTGCCCAGCCGTCGCAACTTCACACATTAGTCGCAAAGATTGCCACGCCATTGAAGGGAGACTCTCACACCAGTCACTCCACCAGATCTCCTCTATAGGTAGTCGGAAGCCCTCCCTTCATTCCAACCCCATACCTCTTAAACGATCATGAATGTTATTTTGCCGTCGCCGTCGAGCGGCAAAGGAGACCCTAAGTACTGCTCTAGCCCGGGGGGGCGGGGGGGGGGGGTCGGGGGGGGGGGCGGGGGGGGCGGCTAGCTCTACACAATTTCTCCAAATCTTTCACTGGCTGGATAGTTCGCTAGAGACATTACTCTGACTATGCAAATCCCCTCATAAAACGCTTTTCGAAAAACCTCCATAATGAACTGCACTATCTCTCGAGACCCGGTAATTGAGGCTCGTGTCACTACTCTTCCGAAGCAGATTCTACTGATTAATCGTTCGGGCAGTCCACTATGAAGTTTGATTTACGAAGGTGGAAATTCATCACGTAACATTAAAAGGCAGGTCGGGCATTAGTTGACCTAACACCTTTCGGTCCATATTCTGTACTTGGTTACGCACCGCCCACCTAATGAATGTGGTGCGTGGCTGGCATAACGTGTGAGATCAGCTAGGTTGATTGCCGTATCAACGTAGAACGACTGACATCTCCAGAAAACTTGTTTGTACGTGCCTCTTTCCCAAGCCAGCCTCCTTCACTGCTAGTGGGAAAGAGGGTTTTTTTGTTAACGGCCTTGTCGACGGTTTTTCTCAGTTTTTTCTCCACTGTCGTTCTACTTCGCATCTCTATACTCAGTTTCAATCGCCATAATACCCCCTTATTGAGCCCGACTTTTGCCTTTAAGTTGGGCAGGGTCAACGTAACATACTGTTGCTACGAGTACACGGGGGGCTCGTACTCAGGTTCAGAAGCGTGCGTTGAGGAATCCTCGACATGTCACAGAGGGGGGGGGTCGTATTGGCCCGCTGGGGAGAGATCGGGCCCGATTGATACAGTAGGATCATCGTCGGAGGACAAACATTAAGGATCGAATCGATACCAGGCCAGAGTATTTCCAATAACAATTGATTCCGTCCACACAAAATCTTCGTGATTTAGAGGTGTCCGCTTAGCAATTCTTAGTGACTTTAGTGTTTCATCACCACACAAGTCAAAGGATCCGAAATTCGCACGTTTTCTAGGGATATTTTATCTTTCAAGTAGGTCCTCAAATCCAACGAGATGTGAAGCACACGGCGCATCCCAGAGTGGGCCCAGTTGGTTGCGCGCGCTTCAGCTACGGCTATCTTGATAACGAATCTTAATTCAGGAAGAATCAAGAGGGTTCTGAAAGAGTTCATGTTAACACATTGACGACCGCGCGCGTTTTGGCTTTTTTGGCCGTGTGGGACCGGGCCGATTTTGCGAGTGCGACCGCCGCACCTCGGATCCGTGAATTTTTATTGATAACTTTTTAAAGCACCAGTGGTACAAAAACATCTCAGTAACAGTCAATGCGTAGAAGGTAATAGAGTATATAGTGACGAAGTTCCGATTAAAGAACATGTAATGGTAATGAAAAAGGAAACTTTAGTCATTTTATCTGTAGTGGATGCCAAAAGCTCTTTTGATGTGGTTATACCAAGTGAAACATGTATTTTTCTGTCTCTTTAGATTTGCATTTACTTTCACTACCCTTTTTTATTGACGTGTTCATGAGAATAGCATGAAAACTATTAATGAACCAAGCCGCCGGTTTCGGTGAGCTTGGAAAACTTCTTCTAAACTGGAGCATATTTGAACAAACAATGACCTATGTCGTTCACAATAATGTTATGTTCTAATCCATAGAAGAGAGACAAACAATTCGGGAAAAAGCTGCGCATGCCCTAGAAAAAGGGATGATAAGGGTGAGACGCGGTAACGCGTCTCAATGTCCAACGAGGTGCGCAAAGTGAGACGCGTTACCGCGTCTCAATGTCGTCAATGTGTTAATTACAGAGAGGAGTACACTATTCAACAAGAAACGCAGCCTTCAGCGTCAAATTCACAAGCATGTAACCTTTAAAGTTGAGACCCGCTAAACAATTTTACACTTTTTGCAGAGCACGAGGATTTTGAATCTGCTCCTACTTCAGTATGTAATCGCTCCTGCAAGGAGCTATAGTCGTTGGGATAGTGCTAATGTAGCGAAAAAGTACCTTTCGGCGGTACTCGGGCAAAAATCCTCAACGTGGCCATTTTTTAAATAGTGAACGTATTTAGCAGTTTTAGTTGCCTATAGAAAGAGCAAATCTTCTAGTTTATGATGACGTATTAACTTTCCAGATTGCATGAGTTTGAACGGAGTTATGGCTTTGGAAAGCGTAAAAACTCGCACTCATCACGAATTTTCCTCGTTAATTTTGCAAAAATCCTCAACGTGGCCATTTTTTGAGTACTGGACGTATGAAGCTGCTTTAGCGACCGTTTGATAGAGAAAATCTTCTAGTTTTGTATGACGTATCAACTTTTTGAATTTGACGGAAATGAAGCAAGTTATTGCTCCGGAAAGTGTAAAAACTCGTGCTCGTCTCGAATTTTCCTCGTTATTTGATCTAAATTTGTTATTTCTTATAACTTCCTGTAATTTCAGTACTGATTAGAAAAAGCTCTTCACAAACTCCCAAATCAGCTTTCAGATTGAAAATTCGTTAACTTTGAAGAAAGTTATAATCATTTGAATATTTGTTCAAATTTCAATAGTAAATAAGCTGCTCCACGGTCAACGCCAAAGTCCAGTCAACACACAGCTGGCGAAGGCTTTTACAAGGCTTCCTTTGAGCGAAAGGGGGACGTGTAAATTGAGAACCATAATCTGTGTAGTACTAGAATTTGGTAAGTCTTGTGGAGGAAATAAACAAAGAAGAGGTGTTGTCATAGTACGCCATTTCTAGTGACTAGTTTGACGTTTTTTGCTCCGTTTCTCGTTTGCTCGTTTGACAGGACTCGTCATTAATGATCATTCTTTGA